GACTCTGAGCTCCGTCCTGTTGTCTTGCAGGTCTGGCTTTCTAGCCAAAGGCTTCGGGTGAGAACCCCGAGACTATCCCCCTTCCGCGGCAACCGGGAAGTAACATGCCCACACAACCCATGAACCTATTCTTCAAATTTCTTTCCGTTCATATGTTATGGCATATTCGCCAGTTCTCTGTAATTGGTTACGTGTTGAGTAAATAAGTAATAATTACAGCGGCTTGAGAACAAGCATGGTGACAATGCAAAGCAGTGAATATGAATTTATGGAGGGTACAGAAAGATTAAATGGAAATGGGGAAAACGGAGAACACGGACAATGAATGAATGATTTTTTAATAGTTTAACCGTACGCTTTTTGAAGATATTTTTGTTACGGGGAACGGGGTATCGCCAAACAGACCGCACAGCAATTGCACCATCGACATCTATTCTGAGCCATATCTCTCAGCGTCTCTAGCCGTCGGCAAACCTACGGCCAAAGATATCTTTCTGTTGCAGGTACATGGCTGGTATAGCCAAAATCAACCACGTCCTCGAGCCTCGTCATTGATCGTTTACCACCGTTTTATCGATGAATTAGTACTGACTGANTGATTCACGGTTAACCATCAAATTAACCTTTTTTCATGTGCGCACCTTAAAGACGTTCCAACTAAGACGCAACTCCGCGTACCATTCACTTTCATTAGCCTAATTCCTGTGATTACTGATCTGATTCACTTTGCTTTATCTGTTTCTCGTTTGTGTTGAACAAAGATATGCTTTGTGATCGTTTTTTTTCTATTCTTTATCTTTTTATGAGGCTTCTTGATATTTTGAGTCCATTTATTTTTAGAGTGAACTGTTGGGAAGAGCCGATTCATTTATTTTGTCCTTTCTTCCAGATGACTTCAGCAGTGGACCGAACTGCAGATTTTATCCAGTCCGTTCAGNGGTACAGTTCATTTAACCAATGGATTTCCTGGCTCCCATGAGGTCACAGCCAACGCTTATACTCCTCTGCTGACCCCACTAGACTCAAAGTCCAGCCAATCAACAATCCAGGATTCACGGAACGCTGCTCGTCCTTCGGCTTCAATGAGTAGCAGCCGAGGAGCATTGCATCGTCGTTCAGAATTCATGCAAATGGCCTCGGGCATTGGTCATGATCTGGCGAATACATTTGGGAAGTTGGAACAACTGAATGGACTGGCTTTACGGCAGTCTTTGTTTGATGATCATAGTGCAGAAATACAACACTTGACTTATATTATCAAAGAAGATATGGCTGATTTAAACCATCGAATTGCCGCGTTACAAGATCTATCCAAGTGTCAGGTAAGTGTTCACTGTTGCCGACAGCACCACCACCGATGAGTTTAACGGGTAATTCCGGCAGCACTCATCGACCAATGTACACGAAAGGAGTGCTTGAGGCTTTTCTGCTCAACTAGTGTCCTGGAATCGCTACTGATAAATACGTTCCTACTGCATGGAAGAAGCAATGCGATATGTTGCAGGAGTTTGTCAGTTCTATTTCATGCAGAAATCACCCTGCTAAATCTTACGCATGACAACTGCAATAGTAGTTTATCATCACTTCCACGGACGATGCTATGGTACAAACAGATGAATATCTTTACATGCTTGTGCTGATGTGCATATATATATATATATATATATATATATATATATATATATATATAATAAAACATCAGCGTCGCTCGAACTCTAAAATAGTCATGTTTGCTACTGCACTTGCAATCAGTATTTGGAAGTTACTGGTGATTGCCATGGGTTACTGTGTCGCTTGATCCTAGCTCTGGCACACATGTACACACACACAGTCTCTCCGATTCGTGTAAGCTCGTGTGCATCTATGCCCTGACTAGAAAACCGACAGTGCTGGACTGTTTTGCAGACAAGGGACTGAGCGCGGATGACATTTTAATCAGTGCAGGAAGGAGCTTACGTCTAAAGGAAGACATTTTCTCTTTTAGTCCAAGGAATGAATTCACAAGATTCTCATTTATGCCTTGTGCAACTGAAAACCTACGTCATCTGATTTTTTTACATTAATGACCCACGTTTCATAGGTTTTTCCAAGCCCATCACCACTAGACCGATTTGGTCAACACAAATAACACTTGTGTTTATTAAAATTTAAAACCCTGGAAACTCCAATCGTTTAGTTTTCGTGTTCCTTCTTTCATTCATCAAACATGACCTCTTAACCGAGCGTCTTTCGCATTCTATTTTCTCGCCTCTTTTCGATTCGTTTCTGACTAGAAATCTTCAAGTAAGCAACAAGCCAATCATTCCCGCTCTGTGCTTATGGGACTGCAAACACGGCTGGCCAAAATGTCCAACCAGTTTCGTGGCCTATTGGAAAAACGCTCGGAAAATTTGCGCACTCAAGCCCAACGACGTGGTAAATACACAGCTCTGCAATCGGACAATGGCTCCTCTGGGGATTTGTTCTCAGCTGGTGTGGCTCGGGCCCAGCACACTGTAATCCCATCAGTTCTGCTCCGGGTAGGTCTTCATGGACTCCTGCGTGTGTTTGTGCTTGCTTTGGTTGCTTTAGATTACTTTGGGGGAGGTTTTAAGGTTTAGTTTCGATGTCATGCTATAATCACCTGGGATACAAAATGTTACTCATCATACCGAAATCTGAGGATGCGTACTGCAACAAAAATAACTCAATACAGAGGACTCAAATAGAACAATAAAAGCATTAGGTTCACCCTGGAATAGGCAGAAATATTCGAAAGTTGGTATATGGTGGGATATAGCTGCCCAGATAGCGAAATTTGTCTTCTTCTTCTACTACCTCCCCAGTTAGGGTGAGACTGGGTGCTGGGCCAACCCAATCTACTAGCAACATTTTACACTTTGATGGTGCAAAACGCATACCAAACATGGACACACTAGCACTTAAATATCCAGAAAAGCTTGCAACTTACCTGGATCTTCACTAAGTAGCACAATGTCGTCTGCATATTCTAGATCAGACAGTCTGACACCTGGGAGTAAGTTGATACCGCTATTCTCGCACGAGGATAGGGCTGTTTCAAGAATTGAATCTATCACGAAGTTAAATAGAAACGGAGAGAGGGGGCAATCCTGTCGAACACCACTTTCGGTAGTGAACTCGGGGGAAAAAGTGCCGTAAGCTCGGACTTGGCTTCGGCTAATAATATAAAGCGATTGTAATATTGCGATTAATTTCTCGGGCACTCCCTTCAGGGAAAGGCAGCGCCAGAGTTTAGAGCGGTCTACCGAGTCGAAAGCCAGTTTCAGATCAAGGAAGATAGAAATGGTGGGTCTACGAAAGGAGTGTCTATGTTTTGGAATTCGACAAAGTGTGAAGATGTGGTCAACACAGCGTCAACCAGACCTGAAACCGGCTTGGTTCTCACGCGTACACCGTACACGTGCAGACAATCGACGGAGTATGATGTCAGTTAAGATAATGTTGATTAAACTAATTCCTCTGTGGAGGATCTATCACCTTTCTTGTAAATCGGTATGATCACCGATTCACACCATTCAGTTGGAACCTGTTCCTTTTCCCACACTGAGCCCAGGAGTTTTGTTAACTCCAAAACCAAGGCTGAGCCTCCATTCTTAAAAACGGATGGGGACAGCCCATCGGGGCCGGAAGCCTTATGCCGTTTGAGGTGACTTATTTCCGGGGTAACCTCCATTTCAGATGGAGAACTGATGTCAACTGGCAATATTTGCACAGTCGAACCGGGTGGGAGGAGGTCTTGTGTCGAAGGGGACCAGCTGAACTGTGCCTTAAAATGTTCTGTCTAACGTTCAAGATGACGTTCCTGAATTCGAATTAGTGTGCCGTCAGACTCCTTAATTACCTCACTTACGCCTGCTTTCCTTGGTCCTGTACTCCTAACTAAACGAAAAGATTGCAACTATTACCGATAGCCGCAGCCTTCTCCAACTCTCTCTGCACTTCCCTACCCACCACTCCTCGCGGTCATTCCTCAGATTCTTGATGAGCTGGCGTTTAAGGGATTTGCGCGTTTTGTCGTATTTTGAATCCGATGGAATGGCTTTGCGAGCGTCCTGCAGGGCAAGTGGGGTTGGGAAGATGCATCGTTTTTTTTGTTTGATCGTGTGCCAGAATTTGCCGTTGCTTTTATCGACGTTTGGATCGCTTCCTTGATTGCCATCCAGTGTTCAGTGAGTCTTCTGGCTGATGGTTGAACTAAGAGGCAATCTGATATCTCCGCTTAGTATGCTGCTAATATTAGTGGTGGCTTTTCGGCGGTTTACTAGGCGTAGGGAGAATCTAGCTTGTAGCACAGCATGGACCATGCCCATGCGTGTTGACTGGTAGCGGCGGCAGACTTCAATCGATCCTCACCAGCGGTGGGTGCTGCTCAATGCATCGAGGAGGGTAGGTAGTGATAAGTGGGCTACTGCTCGAATATCCCAAGCTTTGTGTAGTTATTTGTCTTCCGAACCCAGTCCTCTCCATTTGCCCCTTCTTCCAACCAGTAGTAGTCCCTCAAGCAAGTTTGAATTCGCTCGCCTAAGGTGGTTGCCAACTAGCACTGTAAGTACATATATTATATTTACATTTTCACACACGTCTGAATTCAGATTGTGTGCCAAACAAATCATAATACAATTATCTTTATGAAAAAGAAAAAAAAACGCTCCATGATCTGCATGTAATCTGAATACTGCCAGGTCAAGGCATGTGAATTTTCTTGAGTAATCCACAACCTGCGTTGAGTCTGACCACGCATTAGTTCTGATGCAGTTCACTCTCCGACTGACTGATCGGCGACAAAACCAGCAAGCTCGGATAGCTCATCAACGACTATCTGCTCCAGCCGTTCGTGCACGCTGAATCAGAGCTAGTGCGTAAGCTAGGTGCGCTTAAACGTGGTGATGTAGACGAGCAGTGGGATCAGATTA